AAAATTTATCTCTAATAAAACTTCTTGAATATTGTGATTATTTTTGATTAATTTTAATACAAGGTGGGTTATATAGAAATTTTTTGCTAGCTTTCTTTTTAGAATAAATTTAATTAATAGGTTTTAAAAATCATGAGACTACAAAATATTTTAAACTATATAAAAAATCAAAAAATTTTTTTATTAAATTGGCTAAGTCACAATATTGATTATTCAAATTTGGGGTTTGCTAAAATCTTGTATCTATATAACCTTTTTTATGTAGATCACCAATTAAAATTATAAGATTTTGTTTATACAAATCAGTCTAAAGAAATTAAAAAATCAAAAAATCAAAAAAATATGAAAAACAGTAGTCTAAACCTGTCTTGGTATATTAATAAAAAATGTTAAAAAGAAAATTTTACTTATATATTTGCTTTTATCTAACAATAAACTATTTTAATCCTAATTACAATTAAAATTTTGAAAGTTATGTAGATATAAAGCTTTAGTGATCCCCAATTTTGGAAGACATCTAAAGCCATGTTTAGTCACATATTTTTGATTTTTTATTAAAATTAAGTTAAGAGATAATTTGGAGTTAGAGTTTTATAGTAAAATTGTCCTTTTGATATTTTTTATTAATGTATCGAGATAGGTTTAAACTATCATTTCTTGTATTTTTTTGTGATTTTCACTTTTTTTTTACTGTTTTTGTCTTTTCAGGCTGATCTGTATCAATCAAAATAAACAATTCTATTGGCTTTATATTATATGATAAACATGATTTTAAAAACTACCCCAGAATCACCAGAAAAATTCTATGTAATTTTTACTATTATATGATGATCAACAAAAACAAGCCAAAAATGAACCACAATTTAGTGTAACATCATGTGATCAGAAATTTCAAAACAAACATTTGCTTAGTCAAAAATCACCTATAACTCAAAAATTCACATATAAACCCACCTTCTGCACATTAACAAAAACTTTTCCTTAAATAATTTTACTATTAAAATTTCTAAATTATAAACCCTAACCTTACCATAAGTGAACTTAAAAAATTTTGTTAAATATCACATGACAGTAAAATTTTTCTGGCGATGCTGGGGAAGATGGCTTTAGACAACCCCCAAATTCGGTGTCTAATAAGTAGACAAACAAAACACTCGTCTTTTAGTATGGCGCGGGAAGCTTTAACTCACTAATCACGTGATTTTGTTCACTTTTTTATTTATAAACCGGAAGTAGACAGTCAGTTAATCTAAAATACGAGCATATGCTAAAAATAAATAAATTTTTTGTCCGGTTAGCTTCGATACTAATAAATTTTATAAAATTTAGTATAACACGTGGTCTGTATAAGGCAATCTGATTGGTTGAAAAGAGAAAACATATACGTTTACTTTTTTACAATTTCATAATAAATAAGCAAACTTTAAAAGGCTACTGCTCCATCAGTTTAGATTGAAGAACTAATCTTGTGGATTAGTTTTACATTTTATATATTTTTAAAAGAGGAGTAGCAATTTTCGTATAGCTATTTTTTATGGAGATTTAAAGCTTCCCGCACCATAATATAGATTACTTAAAAGTTCTTATTGTGCCCTTATATATCTTCCTATTACTAGAGCATGATCTCTTTCATACGGTTCTAAAGTAAGTTGTTCTAGAGGTTTTATACGCTCTTCCTGTAGTTTTTTTACTTCCCTGGCAAATACTGTGGATGCTTCAACAGTTGAATCGATACAATTTGCCTTGATTGATATAACAATATTTCCGTTATTTTTAAGGAAATGATGTGCGTTCAGAGCGATAATGCGCGCTTGATCTGGTTGTGCCACATCCGCAAAGATAACGTCAACCATGTTCATCAACATACGGTACTTTTGTGGATGACGTGCATCTTCAATAATTGGAATTACGTTAGTACGTTTCTTGGCGACATTAATAAGGTCACGTCCAGATCGATGAGAAAATTCAACGGCATAGACTATTCCCTCCTTTTAAGATGATGATCGGTATTAATTTAGCCTGTGGGCTTCATTAAGACATTACACGTACTAGAAAGTTAAACTTACTGGACCAACTATATCTGCAACGTGTGATACCGTAGTTCCTGAAGCAGCCCCAAGATACAATACCTTTTTCCCAGGTGCAATATATATATCATCAACACCCCCAAGAATTCCAGCTGCCAATTTAGATCGAAATGGGTTCCAAACACGATATTCGGTTTTATTACCATCTGGTCCTTCAACGGAAATTCTTTTTTCGCCATATACGGATTCACCACTTACAAGATTTTTGGTAACAAGAAGATCTTCTTTACCACGAGCAACAAAAACGCCTAATAACAAAAATGGCAAAATATTCAAAATTTATAATTATGCCACCACACTGACCAAATATAAAAACGTTTGGCACAACAAACATACCAGGATGCCTGTGTGGTTCAATTATAACTTTAGATCCTCCTTTAATTCCAGCCTTTCCACCACGACCCCCTCTTCCACCGCCACGTCCACGTCCGCGATCTCCTCGACCTCCACGAGTTCCACGACCGCCAGCAGCAAAACCGCGTTTTTGGATACCTAACGAAAGATATAATTGAAGTTTCATTGGCGATTTGGCATTGTGATTATTGAATATTCTTACCGCCACCGCGAGCTAGCGGAAGATATAATGATCAAAATGAAAATAAGATGGAATACCATTCATTAAATTGTTGATATTTAAACTAATTAAGCAATATTAATTGGTTGCAGCATAAAGAAATACTCGCTCCATACATGGAAACCCCCCGCGTCCACCACGCCCTCCACGATCTCCGCCACCTTTACCCCCACCGCGTCCTCCACGTCCAAAACCTCGATTAGAACCTATACAAACAAACGACAGTAAATTATATATAGAGAACAAAGTAAATCAGATCACAACTTCGTGTTATAGCAATAAAAGCTGATAGTACCGTATGCCATTGTATTTTTTAGTTTGTTATAGTCGGTTTAAGTACGAGAGAATACTTAAAAAAAAAAAAAACCTAGCTAGATAAGATAGGACCGTCCCGAGCTTGCCCCGAGTTTGTGGATCGTTACACAAGCGATAAATTTTTTTTTACCGTTATACGTTTTACTTTCGAGAGCTCGGGTAACTTAACTCCATAGTAAAGGGGCAAAGTGCACTAAGCAAACTTGAAGCTTTCACTCTGCCCAATAACATATTCGCTGAACCATCTGAATCCAACCACCTTCATATTTTATTAACCTGCGAAGTTATTATCTAAAAGGGTAATTATGTAAGCTAAATTAGCGAAATCTTGTGTTTAAGCAAAAAAAAGGTAAAACGAAGTAACAAGGTAACAATTTAGCAAAATTATGG